ATATATATATATATACTTGATGAGTAATATTTCGAGCCAAAACGAGCCGAACAGGAAAGAACACATCTTTGTTTGTGTTCGGCTCATTAACTTATTGAACGAAGATAACGAGCCAGCACGAGCTGTTCACGAGCTGTTTTGGTGCAAATACATTATTTTTTTTTTAAGATAATATTTTTTTTACAATTCAAGCCCATTTCAAATAAACTAAATTTGATCTATGCCAAGCACAAAATTGGCTTAACAATAAGATCTCTCTTTTTTATTTTTATTTTATTAAAAAATACTTGTCCCGAGCTGCTCTTGACCCATTTGTGTATCTATTTGGAGCAGCTGCAACTTATTGAATAATCTGCTGATAAGCTGATTAAAAATAATTTACTAATAAATAAGTTTCAGTGGTTATTACAAAATTTTTTTTTTTTGAAAAGCCAGATCGCGGCCAGAAAACTATCAGCGCACCTAGATAGGTTCGGTGTGAAAACACTATTTTCAACATTTTAAAAACGCATAAGTTGTCAAAACTCAGTTTACCCAAACAGGTCAAATGCGTTTTCAAAACGCCAAACAATAAATTCTCAATATCTTCATGATGTCTCATACATTCCAATTACAAAAATAATTTTCAATACTATTGTTTCATCAAGACTGCCAATATATCGAATGAAAATGACATGAAAAACTGAAGTATCGAAAATATTTTTTTGTACATTAAAAAACTGCGGCCTTACCCTTATATATGTATGGATAGCCGTTACTCAAAACCCTAAAAAAACAATAACGACCAGTAAAAAAAAAAAAAAGCTAACAAAAAGTTCAAAAAAAAAAAAAAACATCTTTTTTTTTTAGGTGTAACTATGAACAGCTGAGAAGGGCCGTAAAACTATCCCTCAGAAGTCAGAGATCAGCAACAGCATGAACAAATCCTCCCAGAACTTCATTTTCAGAGAAATCTGTTGTTGGAAGGTTGCCCAGAATTCAATCGATTCAGTTCTCTGCAATATTTTAATCTGATCCCTCCTCTGATGCAGGAAACCTATAGAGATAGAGAGAGAGATGACAACCCATCATCACCATCCCCTGAAGAACCAGGCCACAACTGCTGCTTGCCGCCAACATCAGCCGGACGAAACAGCGACGAAAACGTGCAGCAATCCCTTGATTTTTTCTTCCCCCCAAGAGCTAATTCAAGATCAGGACTGCTTGATTCCAGCGCGTCGTCTTCTTTCACACGAGGAATATCTATAATGTTCTGCACAGTGCCTAGGTCTACTTGGAAAAAACACATCTCTGTGTTTGTAACAGTCAGAGGCTTTGAAGTTTCGTCGCAGAGGCTTTCGACGGGTTGCTGCTGCATCAATATGCTAGAATACAAGGGGTGAACCTTCGAGGACAACCGCAAACTTACGTTATCATTGATGATTCCACTAAGACCGTTATAACAAGTCTTCTTCTGCTCTCTCTCATCGTCCTCAACAGGGAACCAACTCGGCCTATCTCTCGGTAGTGCCATTTTGATGTTATCTGGCATTTCATCGGAAAATTGTGATGACATTCGTTCTATAGAACATGATCGTTCCCGTTTTTTGTTAGCCATCAACTCACAACGAATGAGTTCTGTATTTAAAAGGTTTCCTCTTTGATTATCATCTATGATAGCCGCAACAGATGCTGCTGCTGATGTCTCTTTCTCTCCACTGTCTCCTTCAATGTTGATGAAGTCAGCACCTGTTACTTTACATGGAGATAAATTAGCAAAATCATGAAAAGGATTGAGAATGCAAAGAGTCATTCTAGTCTCAAGAGTCTATAAATATATTAATTTAGTCCCTAGACTCTTTTAAAGAGGGTTAAAATGGCCTATATTAAAGGAGTCTGGGACCAATTTAAGACTTTTATAGGCTCTGGGATTATACTGATCATATGTAAATAGTTAGGGGATTATTTTGACACTTTACTGGAAAAGGATTGGACAGATGGATTTCAGTTATGTGAAGCATAATTTCACCTTTATTGCAATTTGGAGAAACCGAGGGTACAGATGGTTCTCTTATGAGGCTAGATTCAACATCAATGACACAAGTAAGAGCAGATGATTTTACAGCTTTTCTGTTTGTGCAATCACTGACCAATTTTTCCTGCATGTAAAAGGGTACATTCAGCTAAGAGAACTATGCACATAAATAGCTATAAACATGCTATATGCCAAATCAGGAGTACAATATATAACAGGAGTATGAGATGTCACTTTATCAACCTTGCAATCACCGGCAAAGGTGCAAAGAATATATGAAGATGATAAATGATGCAAAGAAAGATGTCATGTTATCGATTAATCTTCTAGAAACTAATAAATCAAAGTCAGCATCATCCCAACTATTTAGGGTTCTGTTTTACATTAATTTCTGCTAAGCACTACATGAGATAATATATTTTGCAAATCTTTTCGAACTTATATTTACCTTACCTTGAGTCTGCCTCTTTTACATCTTAATCCTTCGATATTTACATTATTTATCTAGCCAATGAGAGCATTTTTTATCCTTCATTGTACATGTTCAAATCAGCTAACTCGATTGTCAAATATCTCATCTTCGATGCTATTTCAAACATCCCACCTACATAACCGTTCTTAATTTATTTCTCTTACTTTTGCCATCCATCCATCTTAATATTTTTAATTCCACCACTTTAAACTTAACCACCAATGACTATTTGAACGCTCAACTCTAGAATATCGGATTAGTTGTAATTTTATAAAATTAACTTTTGAGCCTCTATACCTCCTATATACAAATTATTCTTTAATTTATACTTAGAAATTTTTTTCACATATCCATCTTAATATAATTATTTCACTAAGCTCAATTAATCATAAGTGACATTTTCAACGTTCAACACTCAAATTCATACATCATAGTTTGCTTATAAAGTTCATCTTTTAAGCATGAAATAAATCATTTATCAAATAATACTTGAGGTATTTCTCAATAGTTGATATAATTCTAATTCAATTAAAAATTATTTAATCACAACTACTAAAATTAATCAATGCTTTATCATAAGCAACTTTAATAACTTTAACAAACCTTTGGATGGAACAACCTTCGTCCCCAATGAACACTAAATCAACTCTAGTGGCACTCAATAATAATATGACTTTGCATGAAAAATAAAAGGGGAATTTATGTAAATACCACAATACCACATAATTCTTATGCACCACATAATTCTTATGCATTTACATATCTAAACATCTAAATTTTCATTTTTATATGCATAGCATTCAATCTTTAATATCACATAAAATGTTATTATTACTAGCTTTTTAAAAGTGAAATACAACTTTTCATACATAGGTTATGATATCAAAGTGATATAAATGTAAATATCAAACATTAGGTGTTAGATATGTAAATACATAACAATTCATGTGGTATGCATGTAAATCTCACTAAATAAAAATTATAAGATGATCATTTCATTATTCTCTACACATTTAAACAAATTGCCTTAACAAAAGTCACTTAATTGTGGAACTTCCTTGAAACCAAATTCTCTCTCCAAAGAGAACATAATTTTTCTAAATTTTTTTTCCATTCATATTTCCCATAATGCATTGTAATACGAATAAGTTTTATACTCTATAATTACCACAATCTAGAAAGGCTCCTTCATTGTTAAAATCGGTGTCAAAATGCATTTTTCTCCACCAATCTACATATTCTTAATATCCAAAACTTCATTTAAAGGATTTGGTAATCAAAACACAATAAGATCTTCTATAACTTTTCAAATCTCAACAACTAAGTAATATGAATCTAACGCTTTAATTTCATAAATCTTCGAGGGAGTCGATCTATAACATATCTCGTTCTTTTATTCATCATGTTTTAATAATGTCACTCAAGGCTCCCATTTAATAAGTTCTCAAAGTAGAATAATTCATCATTCCTTATATCATCAAATTTGATAATTATCTCCATTTTTATGCAAGTAACTTCATTAAAATCTTGGGGCATTTACATACATACCACCCAATTCTTATGTATTTATGTATCTAACACCAAAATTTTATTTTTTTACATTTATACCACCCAAATCTTTCATAGCACAAAAAATATCACCATTTCAACTTTAAAAAAATGAAATACATCTTTTCATGCATAGGTACGGTGACATATATATAAAAATTGAAGGTTGTGTTAAATGTGAAAATACATAAGAATTAAATGGCATGCATGTAAATCTTCCTAAAATCTTTATTTTTGGCTATTTTATATATCTCCCTCTTAGTAGCATGCCTATGATTATAAGTCATCAAAATTTGTAGCTTTACTTCTGTTCTCTACCCCTTTTTTTTTATAATAGTTATACTCCTTAATAATATTTATCTTTTGTCAATTTTTAAAAACACATCTTTTTTTCTTTAATCATTTGCAAATTATTGTCCCATTGACAAATTTCACATGGAGTTTTAACCTTTCTAGTTTATTTCCTATTTCTTTTCTCTAATTAGGGTTCCTTTCTTGCAGGAGCTATATATATGTTGCTATTTTGCTATTTCGGGGGCTTTTAACTATTGTTATTGCGCTTGGAGACATAGTATTTTATTTTATATTCTTCAGAGTGTTATATTCTTTTCTTTTGCAAATGGTGGATGTCTCTTGCTCAAGAATAAATGGTGGAGCCTCCTTGTTGTCTGTTCATCGTCGTGTTCCCTTAGCTGTTCTCAACTGGGATCTCCACTGAATGACATCTATCCCCCTCCAAACATCGTCGACCGCCGAAATTATCAATCCCTCACTATTCCACCACCACTTCCTCTCTAAATCCCTTTCCTAAACACCTTCTAGGAACTCTAGAACGATATTATTTGGTATCAGAACTCGAAAAACCCTAAATATGGAAGTAATACAATAATAAATCCTTTAACTATAATAAAGACTAAAGGTTTTTGAGAGAAGACAATTCAAAGAGGTCGCTCATAGTCATAACGGTGACTCTCCAAATCAAGAGGAAGAATGAATCCTAGCCACCCAGAAACCTCTAAGTAGAGAAGTACATGGATGAATTCGAGCAGCTTGTGTTGAAAAGTGAGCTGGTAAAGTCCTAAGGGAGCACCATAGCTCAATAACCGGAACGATTAAGATCATCTATTGGCAACATAATACAATTACAACCTTATTGGACATTGTAGGATGCCCAGACCTCAGCCCTGAAGGTGAAAAGATAACACAATAATATCAAGTCCATACCACCGTTCAAACACAGTTCCGCCATTAGATCAGTTAGCAAGAGTACAACCAGTGGAGTATCCAAGCCAACACCGTCATAAGAGAAACCCATATAGAGAGAAGAAAAGGAGGAGACTACTAATTGTCCTAAATTCATCTTAGTCAACAAGTGTTTTGTGTCACGGCTTTGGGCACATTATATCAGATTGTCCAAATAGAGAATAATCTCATTCATGGAGCAAAGAGCAATAAAAAAGATAGTCAATGACACATGAGACACTAAAGAAGATGATGATGTAAAGTAATACCAACTTACAACTGATGAGGAAGAGATGCTAATAATCCGACGGGTCATCAGACTGAGTCTGTGAGAGAAGCACCACCAAGATTAAAAATGGTTGTCCTAGATAACGAGTCCAAGAAGCTAATACCTAACACATGCCAGCCCTAGCTAAGTTAATTCCAGAATTGTCTGACTTACGACCTACTCTTTAGGTTGCGATAAATTAGGGAGATCCAGTGTGTCATAACTTCATATAGAAATGAGAAAATTTTAAGTGATTTTTGGAAAACTTTGGAATGAACTGCATACTAAGTTTCAGTTCCGTTCAACAATGTACTTACGGATAGATGGTCGGAGAAGAGTGGTAAGCCGTACTTGTAGAAATCTTTTTAGGTGTTTTGCAAGAAAGAATAATCGACAGAGGGATTTAGGTCCTTCCAGAGATGAAGGCGGAGGCTCTTCTAGTCAGGGAGAATGACGTGGAATCTCCAGACTTGGGAATTTTGTGATTCCCATATAGCAGAATCCTGTGGATTCACAAAATTTCCAATTCGGCTGATGCTGTGGAATCAAGCCAGTCGTGATAGCAAAAGTGCATAATCAATCGATTTTACCATCTTGTTACCCAATTACACATGGATTCTTATATTTTTTTAGTTTATTCCCTATTTCTTTTCTTCTAATTAGGTTTCATTTCTAGCAGGAACTTAAGAAATGTTGTTATTTTGCTGTTTAGGAGATTTGTTGCTATTGTTATTGTGTTTGGAGATGTGGTTCTTTGTTTAATGCTCTTCGAAGTGTTGTTGCTCTTCGAAGTGTTGTATCGTATTTTTTTTTTTTTTTTCTTTTTTTTTTTTGCGAATGGTGTGTTTGTATCTTGCTCGGGAATAGGTGCTGGGACATTGTTTTTTTGGAGTTTTTTTGTTGTTTTCAGGTGAGACCGCCACCGAACGACATCTATCCCCTCTAAACATAGCCGAGCACATATTTTCATTCTCTTGCTATTCCAAATCCCCTTCCTAACACCCTTTAGGAGCCCTAGAATGATATCAATAAGTTGCAAGAAAGTCTCAAATCCTCATCCTTCATAACTAAATCTGTTACTCTGCCAAGTACATAAGCCCGCTATCCTCTTTTCATATTCGTCTTACCCTCCACAAAAAAATAAGGTAGCGAAGATGACCCAAAATCCACTTAAGCCTATCCTATGCACCTGAAAGTTCAGGCGTTGATGATCTAAATTTTAGTTTGCATGATCTATAATGATAAAAATAGGCCAAAATAAGATGCAATTATTGGATGCAGTTTTACAAATTCAGTATCAGCTGAAAATTACCTGACAAACACCATCATTTTTCTCTGAAGAGCATGACTTGGTTGTAATCATTTGAAACCTGCCGTTAGGAGCATCAATAATGATTCCCAATGGCTTAGCTTTAGTCCCATTTGAACTGCTAACACAACATAAAGGCTGCTCTTCAGTTACTTTAGGAACAGCAGGCACAATATTCAACATCTTCTGAACTGGAGAAACTTCCAACGCCTTCCGTATTTTATCCTCAATTTCCAAAGAAATAGGAGGCAAATCCACACCACTAGTAGACTCCCCTTGCACCAAATCAGATAATTTCTTTAGTTTCAAATTGGTTTCTAAGCTTTTGGCCTTAGAAACAACATCAGCAATGGAAGGCAAAGAAAATTTTTGTTCAGATGACAAAGACGTCTTCTGCTCATCCATGACAGGCAAGTAATATCTCCTCTTGCCTCTAAACATGCCCCAGAGGTAACGCATACTGTTCCAACCTGAAATAATAACGCGTTTATTCAATATTTTTCCGAAAATTTAAAATTATACCAAATATGCATGCACCATCATTTATTACTTACGCTGGGACTTCATTGGCAACTTATTTGAAGTGAAAATAAGAAGTTCAGCTCCCCCAATATTTCCTCTGAGTGCCAAATCATTTCTGTGCATCTTATCCATTAGTTTCCTATAGCTCTTGTCATAACTGAACCAATCAACATCAGATGCTATTAATCACATAAAAGTTCAACAAAAAAAATGAAGAAAATTTTCCATGAACGAACCTCTCAGTATCTTTCGCGAAGAAAAACAAAGCGATATTTTCATCTTGAGGACCAGATCGTAAAAGCTGTAATGGCCAAGAGCTAATGTGAGAAACCTCATCTAACTGGACATTGCCAGGCATCTTGGTTGCTAATTTAAACACTCTATAAGAAGCACAAGTTGATAGGTGAGCTTGAATCCCAAAGAACATGTTGGAATGGCTTCCATTTCCAATGACATTAAAATTACCTCTGAAAGTTCAGAAAAAAATGACAGAATTACATATGGGGCCAGTAGAATATTTTAAATCCATTAAAAACAAAACAAATTTACATATATACCACACAATTCTTATGCATTTACATATCAAATCCCAAATTTTGATATTTACACTAATAAAACCTTGGGTTCATAAACATATGCATGAAAAGGTGCATTTCACTTTTAAAAAGGTTGTGATAGCGGTATTTTTTATGTAATGAGTGGTGTGCATGTGAATATGAATGTTTAGGAGTTAGATATGTAAATACATAAGAATTGTGTGGTATGTATGTAAATGCCCCTAAAAAAAAATAAAAATCTAACAGAATAAACATATCATACTGCCAAATGCATTCAAGTTTTGGAACTGCTGATCCACTCAATGAATCAGCTAGATGAGTCGCCTCGCCTCGCAAGGTCTCTCCAAAAGACTTCACATTCAACTCAGAAATGTTCGTAGCGTCCCTCATGCCATTAGCTTCATCAGATCCCTCAACAGGAAGAACAGCGAGTTGCGCTGAACCTACAAAAGACAACATTTTCGTAGAAACATCGACTGAATCCTCTGAGCCAACTTTACCAGTGTTTTTTTCTACAACCAAATGTTTCGGAGCTGCTTCACAAATCATATCTACACCAACTGCTGGATGCTCCTCCAGCGCATCAGTTTTTTCGCTCTTTAACACTCCACTCCTCGACAAAGCCGCATTTACAACCCTTCTCCATTTATTACCCTTCTTCTCCACCTCCCTTGAATTCTGTTCAGCTGAAGTCCTATGACCAGATCCTCCTTGTTCATCATGAGTCGTACGCCCTGTTCCGTTGCCTCTTTGAGAGTGAAAGGTTTTGTTACCTGCCCGGGAAGAAAGTCTTGAACTAAAATAAATGCTAGAATCGCTCATTCTACTGTCTTTGTCGCTAGACTGTAAGAGTTGATCAGCGCTACAATGTGATACAATTCCAACCTTTCTATATGAATTATCTATGACACTGAAACTCCTCCGAATAGCTTCTTTGGCGACTTTAAACCTGTTAAGATTGTCATCATCGTAAGATTTTGTAGTCTTAGATGAATATGAAACCTGTTTCTTCATTTCATTGCAACCTGAAAGAAGAAGGACATGAGTTAGCTACCTAAAACAAAACCTTATTAGATAGACTAACCAAGGCAAACTTGATGTCTAACCAAGTTACCTGCATTTACTCCTTCACTTAAGCCACAAACACTCTTCTCAGATAGATTATTCGTAATTCCATCATTCTGCAGGAACTTCACATCAACCTTAGGAGAATAATTGGTGGTAATAGCTGCAGGTGGCCTGACAACTGAGTTTCCCTTTGCAGAAAAATTGTTCTTTTCTACTCTATTTCGATCTTTTACCTCTTTCAGAGCTCTTAAATCTTCATTACGAGATGGCTTAAGCAATGTATTTTTACTCACTAACTCAGTATTGAAGCATTCTGAGTTTCTATTTTTAAATAAAGTCTTGGTTGATGCATTGAATGAACCTTCTTTCCTTAATTCATTAGTTATAAGCTCCCTTGTGAATCTTTGCTTAGGAGGCGCATTTTCAACTTGTGCTTTGACTTTTGAATTAGTGTTTGAATTATTAAAGGAAAACGATCTTGATATTTTCCCTGCATGAAAATAACCAGTTAAGATTGAATAGCGTTTTAGTTAGAATCTAAACGAATTAAATGAGAAAAGAATTTGATGCAAGCCTACCACGAGGAGAATAAAGAGGTGGCAGCCCTTTAAATGAACTGGATCTTAGACGGGTTTTTGAAAGAGAAGTCCCATAACCTTTCGCAAGCAGAGATTCCAATGATGGTTCCATTCTAACCGTCTTCAACTTCCCCACACCTTGACTTTTTGATGAAATTTGATGAGACAAAACGGGTTTAGGGTTTAGGCTGGCTGTTTCTATAGAAGCGCCACTTAGTTCGGAAGCTTTTCCTTGCTCCAAAGGGTCAACCGGCCTCATAATAGAAACAAGGGGACAGTGCATCTCCTTTGCTGAACCTCGGGAATCCAACTCAGTTGGCCTCGCATCCAATTTGTGTATTTTTCTGGGGATTGAAGTGCTCGTCGAGTTTTGATTGATATCATTTAAACACTCTAGTTTTAATCTTCCATCGACTCCCTCACATTCATTCGCATTTGAACACTCCGTTTCCTTGATTTTGCATTCTTCACACAGCCACTCACCCTCAGGAACTCTATCGAGCATTTCTCGCATGCAGTATCTATGCAAAGAGGGAAGAAGTAATTGGAAAAAAAAAATGGAAAATAAGGTTGCAATTTGCAAAGAATTTAAGGTTTTATGAGCTCACGTGTGCTCTGCACCATCACTACACTTGCTGCATATAGCAAGATGATCCTCCCTTCCAGCATCTCCACAAATATCACACACTTTTACCTGTAAATTGTTGCATACAGATGTAACAAATACCACAAAATCAAAACGGAGTATGCAAAACTTAAAACACAGCTATGTATGATGCCCAGCAGAGAGTTAACAAAAGATTGAAGGGAATTTTACATACCTAGCACACAATTCTTATATACCACTCAAATCTCTAGTATGACGTAAAAAATGCCACCATTTTAACTTTTATAAACGTGAAACACACCTTTCCATTCATAAGTAAGATGGTATGTATGTAAAAATTGAAGTTTAGGTTTTAGATATGTAAATACATAGGAATTGAGAGTATTTATGTAAATCTTCCAAGATTATATTTATATCATCTCTGCCAGGAAATATATATATATGAATGCAATACAGTTCTTCTATGTGGAAAGGGACATTTCGACCGATTTTTATTTTAGTTTATTTTCTAATCATACAACATCGGTTATGCAAAAGTAAACCATCAATGATAAATTTATAAAAAAGTAAATAATGTCAAGTATTGTAAAATTTCAAGGTAGTATGATCATGCATCAAATTAAAAAAAATAACACCCTAGAAAAAAAATCTAGATATGAGATAAATAATTTATCAATTTCATTTTGTAGTACACAAATCAAATAAAAAAATTTGAAGTCTGTATAAAAAGAGATCTAGATCACTTTTGATGGAATTGATCTCAACAAATTTTACATAGAACAAGTTTTTTTTAGTGAGAGGCAGCACGAGCTATCAAGTTCTACATCAAGTTTAATCAACAATTAAATCTTCATAAGTGATCAAACTAGATAATCAAATTCTTCTTAGGCTGATGTTAATCTGAAGGTAGTTAAATTGATCTTGAGCAATAAGGATATTCTGAAGGATCAATCTGCATCAGTATCATGCAACAAACAAAACTTAAACCATTGAGACTCTATACATCTTACACTATTAATAATGAAACTGGTTTGATGTGAGAAACTAGATTAGTATGATAGAGTATACAAATAGAGCATGAGAAATAGAAGAGTTAACAATTTTTTGCCCTTCATCAAAATTCCTTGAGCAAATCAGTCGCTCTTTCCTGATGATTGACAAAAATGGACCGAAAAACGCTATAAACTCAAAATAAGTTCAAAGTTGAATTTGTGGATTCTAATTTATGGTCAAATTTTCATTTTATTATAATTTATTCAACATTGAGACAATATGGGATGGAAAACGTCATATAATCCATCAAAATTCAATGTTTTAATAAAAAAAAAATCATGTAAACGTCAAGGTACTCACATCATCCAATGCAACATCTGATTCATAGTTTTCCCCCACAGCAGCAGCTTGAAATTGAATGAGCTGTTCCTCACTTTTGACTGCATCCAATACAGCATCACCTCTTTCAAGAAGATCATTTGCACAACATTCTTCAGAACAATTATCAGATGGTTTTGTACACTCTGTGCCCAAACTTGTATCTTGGCACAAACCATTAATCTTTGGGGTGCCAGATAAAAATCCAATTTCTGTTCCACCTGTAGAAACTTCTTCTTTTGGAGCGGAACAAGCTTTGTTCTCAGGAGAGTTTCCGCCAGTTAATGATGCCAACGAACAGTCAAGATTATCTATTTCTACACATCTGATTTTTGCATCCACACTATTAACAGAATAACTATCAGCTTCTGTCCTAATAGCAGCTGGAGATACAGTGCATGTTCCAGATTCAATAGGCATTGCAGTATGGTCTTTTGAAAACATAAATTTCTTCTCATCCTGGAAAGCACCCAAATATGAGAGAGAATAATAATGGAAGTAAAATATTGAATATAAACAGCAATTGCAAGAAAAAAGCCATAACACAGTATTACACTTCAACCCAAATGAAAGAGCGGAAACTATGAATAGTTTTAAAGTACATTACATGCTTAAACTAATATATATGGATTTATTCTGTGCTATACTTATAACTCCTGTCCTAATTAGAAAGAATGGTGTAATTTAACTTTGATAAGAGCAACAAAAGAAGCACATTTGTAGATCCCCACGAATCAAATTTATAAGTAACTACAAAAGAGAGAAGGAACTATTTGATTACAAAATGTGTCTTTTATGGCATAAAAGTCATAAATTCAAGTCACTTAGGGGTCGCCAACAGGAACCACTTTTATTTTTTATTTTCAATTTTTTGTTCTTATTTTGCTGTTTTCATGTTTTGATTTGAAGCAACATGTTTGGTGAGTTAAAATAAAATAAATTTGTTTTTGAAAGCACTCAAAAATATCTAAAAATAGCTTTGAGTGTATTAAAAAACATGTTATTTGTTTTTATAAAAAAAATAGAAACATATTAAAAGCACATCAAACAAATACATTTTGAAAAACAATAGGAAAAATAACAAAAGAAACAAAAAATAAAATTGATCCCAAACAAGCCCATAAAATTTAAGTTTTTATACATCAAGAGTCCACTTGACTTTCGTGAGCTTTAAATAGAAAAACATGATGAAAAAAAAGGAATAATGGTGATTTTGGATTAATATCTACTTCTAATTACATAAGCCTAATAACTCATATACGACTCATTGGCATTTGATGACACTAAATCCTATGTGTTGTGATCTAATAATTTGTTAAATATTTTCTCTTAGGTCATTAAAGTATGAAGATGGTGTTCAATGAACTAGCATGACGCACTTTATACTTGGAGGAGAACACAACAGGTTGAATAAAAATTGACTAAGTGCAAGATCACGGTTCCAAAGTTTAGTAGTCTAGTGAGTATGTTTTAGATATTATTCAATGTAAATTTACTGAGTTAGATTTACTAAGAATTTATAGAGGAAGAACACAAAATTAAAAGTAATAGAGATTTTACTTATAAATATACAAAATCTATTTTGAAATATTGTAAAAATTATATATATATTTTACAATAATTTTTAGAAATTTATTTGACTTAATTTTCTAATTATTTAACTGATTCTCTAAGCACTAATTATGCAAATTTCATTTATTATGTTGTTCGAGTAAAGTGCTAAAATAGTCCTCTGACTATTTACATGGGACCATTTTAGTCCGAGTTTATAAATGTGCTAAATTAATCCCAAAGCAGTTTTAATGGGGGCTAAAATATTCCATATTGAAAACTACTTTAACCAATATTAAAAAAAAATCAGGGAATAAATTGACATTTCTATAAACTCCGACCCCCTAAAAAGAGTCAGGGACTATTTTGAAATTTTTATCTATTTTGTTTTTAGTGATCATGTGCATAAATTTTGCATATTTGTAACATTGATCACTTATGTGTTTGTTAAATTTAATTGGTTCTAAATTTCCCATCCTACGAGATAAAATTACTCACTATGCATAAATATATTAATTATATTAATATTTAATTAATTAAAAAAATGAGAATTATGCTAATTTGATCAACATTCTTTTATTAAGTTTATTCATTTTGGCAAGTTTAATTGATCTCATAAGTTTTAGTTATTACAACAAATTTCTTTAATTAGGATAATTATATATTAAATACTAATGACAATTATTTATAAAATTATGCTATACGTAAAAAACTTTTAACTTAATTCCTATTCCATTTGATTTAATGAATTATTTACATATAATTTTATGTATAATTCCATATATTTTGGTGTTATATTGATTATTAATAAACAAAAAGCCAACACTAAATAAACCATAGCAAAACACTCTGATAGCAGTTGATCAAAGCCTTCAATATTGTATGCCCGACAAAGATAGTAATGGAAAATTTTACTGAACATTTGTGACTTGTACAGCCTATCTATAATGGATGCAGTGAGATGATACTTCAATAGATTAAGAAAGTTTTGAGAGCATTATCTTAAAACCATTTCGAGATAAATTTTCATGAAGATCTAAGAGTTCATCAATATCAACATCCTTTAAAGCACCCTTTTAGACTTGACTATTCTTCAAAATACATAGATAGTTTTATGATAATTTTTTTTTGTATATTTTTTGTTTGTTTTTTACAAGTTGTGTATATTTTATTTGGTATTGGCTTTATTCACAACAAAATTCAGAAGAATTTTCGAAAAGAAATCTAAATTTTGTGTTTAGAAATTTGTGTTTGTCTCACCAATTAGAAAAGGTGTGGTGGTTGTAGGGAGAAAAGGGTGCTTATGCGTAGATATAGAACAAAGTCTGGTGTGAAACTTGCTATATAAATTAGTTCAACTTTCTTGTAATTTTGCTCAATCGTATTCTTGAATGGCATATCATGATTCATATGTTGGAATGCTTTCTTGCTAGTCTAGTCAAATCATTTAATCCGTAATCACATTTTTATTATATCATAAGATCTATTTGTGTGTAGAACAACTATGTGTTTAACTACAGGTGTTAGTGATTTTATTATCTTAAATTGTGTAGTGGAGTTGTTTACTCATATTGAACTTGTAAGTTTGAATACTCACTCATTTGCTTTATCATGTAATCTATACCAATAATCAATTATGTGGTGACCTACTTACAGGTTTTCCTACTTAATTACAAGTTTGTATTAATTATGAAAGTCACAATGATCTTGTGGTTGAGAACCGTGCCCTCCAACCAAAAGATCCTCTGAGTTCAAAGCCTTCCATATGTTGTGTGTGTGCATTTAGGTGTGTGTGTGAGAAAAAAAAGTTTGCGTTAACCGTAAGTGTAATATTATATATATATATATATATATATATACATTTGTTTACATCTGGTATATATTGTACCTATACACTTATACACATTTGTATATGCTTAATGGAATTCCAGTTTTTAAAAAATTTAGCCATCATTTATTACTATAATTGATAGTTAATTGCTTCATAAAAAAAATATAACAATTGGCTGCCTTTGAGCTGAGAGGAGCAACCCAATAGCAGTGTAGATATCTTAGATGTCCTGCTAAAGGAAAATAATAATTGCAGGTTGAAGTTGGAGATGTCAAGAAATATTGTTTCAGTAAAAATATATTCTTTATGTGCAATTTGTCCAACATTAAACATCCAAACATTGAAAAATAAAACCTTACAAGAAAAATATCTACAAGAAGGTATCTGTTTTTATCAAAGGGTAACGCACTTACAGAATCAGTCCCCTGAAGATTCATCAGGTCCAAATCATCCACAGGTCCTTGGATGCGACAGCTGCCCTTCAGAACAGGTGTAATCTGAAAATACAGAATAAGCTAGTTTGTGTCAGCTAGCGAAACAATGGATCCCGAAACCAAAGCCGTAAAAATTTAAAAAAAAAAGAAAAAAGAACAAAAGCAGAGCAGTATCTTAGTGCTACAGAGCCTTATGGGTTTCAGGTACTATAGGCCTAGTTGCAGATTAACTAGTTTGCGAAAATAGCAAACAAAAAATTAATAAAAGCATTTAAAAAAAATCACAGCACTGCCCTACACAAATACAAATTGCAATTCAAAATAATTACCTCCTCACACCCTAGAAAATCCCTGCTTCCAGACCTCATTTAACCGTGTCAATTCGTTTACTCGGAAACACCAGTAAAGAAAAATGAAAATGAAGGAAAACAAATAAGAAAAAGAAGAAGAAGAAGAAGCACTCCGACCCTCTCGCTACATCTAACAGTCTATGTCACGTCCATCAGTAACGCAAAGCCATTCTAGAGTGACGGAAGAAAAAGGGAGTAAAACAAACAGATAGCCTAATAAATTTAACTATTCATGCGTGGAGAAGAGACGTAACCCTAACCCGATGAAACAAACGCGACAACTTTACATGCCTCCAGTTCCACAATTCTCTCTGTGCAATCGTACAACTCCTTCAAAGTCCGCTCAGTACGCTTCCTCATAACTCAGCACACGTAGCGGTTGCCTTCGATCGGAACAAGGCCTGACCAGCCTCAACCACATCCCCTCAATTCAAACTAGACTTTTCCAAGTCAATACATGAACCCAAATCCGATGGAGAGAAAACAGATAAAAAAGGAGATGAAGAGAAAAAAAAAAGCTAAAAGAAGATAACAAAACAAATGCCGGAAAGCTGAGAAGGGCTTCCAGCATAAGAAATATTCAGACGGATCTTAATGTGGGAGACGATTCATCGAGGAGAATGGGGAGCTTCTTCGGGAATCAATCCATGGCGGAAACATGAGTCCATCGAATTGGGGATTTTCTTCACAAAAAGCATAATACTACCAACGACAGAAATACAAGCATTAATAAAAGAAAATCCACAGCGTATCTCCGCTTTCTAGTATTTATAGGTTCTACCGGGGTACTAGCGGCTCGGGCCATTAATAATTTCTATATCTGCCCTCGGGCCACCGGAGCAACCTTCTCCCTGTCCACACACATTTCTCATGTATCTCAACAAAATCTGTGGTTTTACACGAATCTCAAGATTATTAGCACAGATCTTGAAATATTTTTTAGCAAAAAAATATTTAAAATTTAATTAATAATCATTCCAAATTCCAATTTCAACAAGAATAAGTCAAAGTGACTGGCTTGACGAGATGAACACAATGACACTAAAATTGATCTAATTATTAAATCACATTTGAAAGTTTTTAGTGTTTAATTGGAATGTTATATGAATTATAAATTTGACTAGTTTTACAGTCAAATTATGCATCTTAATGAAACGAATCTATCCAGCCAAAAATCACTCAATATTCACATCTTTAAGGCACCTAAATATCAACAAAATATCGTTTGATTAGTAGAATCTCTCGGGAAAATGCAATGGAATGACTCAAATTTCTTCCTTTTCGGCAAATAATTTGCTCACATGCTCTATAAATAAAGTCATACCCTTTTATGTAAAAAGACCCAGACATTGATCCAAAAAAAAATCTGAGTTTAAAGCTGGTTCATCTTGGAAGGGGCGAATTCTTTATAGAGTCATACCCCATTATATTGTCTTTTTTTTTTTTTTTTTTTTTTTTTTTGTTTAGGGCATTTACATACATGTCACCCAATTCCCGTATATTTACATATCTAATACCTTAGGTTTCCTTTTTACATTTTTATTTACATATCTTCTAATCAACTCTTTCGTATTGGCACGTATTTCATTTATTTGATGGTAGAGACCCTATCTATCCCTATCACGTTGCCATACATTTTCAACCCTTTTAATTGAAAAGCTAAAAAACTCAATAAATGACTAATTCATTACCTCATATTGATCGTGACTATATCTTAATTCTCTTAAAAATCCTAATTCACCCAAAAAAATAAATTATATATAAATACAGATATATATATATATATATATATATATCAACTGTTCATATGCAACAGCTATATTCCAAAATTATTTTGATGTCTTATAAATAGTTATTTGCGTACCTCTCTTTTACTTATTCAAATACATTAACGTTGTTAGAGATAACAGAGGCTCTCACTTTGTTTAATGAATGGATATATATATGTATATATGTATATATATGTATATATATATATAACTTAATAAATGTATGTTATCGGCATAAACTATGCTGTGATGAGAACAAGTAAACATAAATCTTGATTTGGTCAGCACAACAATAATTAAAGTGTTTGATTATCATGAGTGATTAGGCTAAACTAAAAATTTTAATTCAAATGTGTATTTTTTAGGGATGATTATGTTAGGTATGACTCATATACTAGGAAATTTGGAGTAATTTGAAATGGAGAGGTGTGTGTCCTGCAATGAAAATGAGCGTCTCTTGATGTGAAGATGTGTGTCTCTTGATGTGAAGATGTGTGTCTCTTGGATTAGTGGGTTGAGAAGAGGGAGGGCGTGCTTGTAAATTTATCTGTGGATTTTATCCATAAATAGATGTGTAATCCTATGGGTATGTAACTCCTCTGAAATAATAAAATTCGCCGCTCTGCTCCCGAGGATATAGACTTTTTTGCCGAACCTTGTTAAATCTCTATGTGTTATGTGTTCTTCTGGATTTGTGTTGTTTCGCCTTAAATTTCACAACAAATTACATACATTGTGCAAGAAACATTATTATTTACAAATCAAGCACACATTGATTTTTTGAACTATTAAACTGATGCATTTATGATTACCATTATCAAACCTTTGTAAATTTGATAAAAGAAAATAAAAAAAATATGGGTTGGGGTTTTATCACGACCTTTGATATTTGAGTGTCATTTTGAAAATGGATGAAAGAAGGTGCTTGATTTGTAAATAGCAAAGTTGTGAGTTCCCAATATGTAATTGCCCTTTTTCTTCTGTTATTTGAAAGAATGAGAGGCATTAGATGCCAAAATAAATGAATAAATAATAATAATAATTACAAGGGGTGCAAAGTCAAAAATGGGCAAGACTCTGAAGGGAATAGATATATATATATATATATATATATATATATTGTAATTTATATATTATAATGTACACTTGAAAGAATATTTAGGTGACACATTTATATTATTTTATGCCTTTATGAATTATTAAGTAACCTTCACACTCAGTCTTGATTGATTACTTAATAAATGGGAGGAAAGGGATGATTAAAATACCATTAATTCTCAAAATCAAGTATGTCCTTATACAAGTGGTCGCACTAGTTCATTTGGAGTCTAAAAACAAAAATAAATTAAATTAAAATAAAATAAAAAATAAAAACTTGAATATTTAATATTAAGAAAATAATTCTTGTGATTTATTAATTTGGGGGCATTTACATACATACCGCAAAACTTTTTGTATTTACACATTTAACAACTATTCTTTTTATATTTATATTTATAACATTCAAATCTTTAACATCATATTAAAATGTTCACGTGTGCTACCTTATCACATAAGTCTAAGAGATTCATTTGTTATAAGTATAAATATCAAACATGTGAAAATTTTCCTCAATAATGTTGAAATATCTTTATATGGTTTTTTAGTGTTTTCCGATCAATGAAAAATTGACTACAAGCATGAAAGATGCATGAATAAGGGCATGATGATCTTTAAGGAATTTTTGCCATATAACATGAATCTTGATAAGTTTTTAACAATAAATGTTCAAATTCAAATTTAAGATCATTTAGGGCAGGGTCTCGACAAGACGAACCCAATTATACCAAAATTTGGTTAATTTAGGTTAGTCAAGGCCACATCAAGCTATTAAAGCACATTTGGAAGGTCTAGTTCGTCGATTGAATGGTTAAATGAAGTTCAAATATGACATATGTATAGTTAAATCATGTGCCTTGATGAGAGGAATCCTGCAAGCTTAAGTCTAGTTCATGTCAATTTGAACATGTCGATGAGAGGAATTCAATGAGGATAATAGATATCATATATATATTACATAACTAAATATACTTCAATATTTATTTTTATAATATTTTAATATATCAATTATAAGAAAATATAACCATGAAAATTTTATTTTATTAGAAGACGGTGAATATTAGTGGTTTTCTTAATGTGATTTAAAAATTTAGTTGTGTATAAATAAGTATAAAATTTAAATGTTAAAAATCTAGGTGTTGTATAAATAACAATAAAATTTAGATGCTAAATATCACACTATCAAGCAATTTTTTTGCATTAATTTTGTATTCATCAATGTTCATGGCACTAGATTAACAAATTATCGTCTTAGTATTGTACGAGAATCTAACACACACTCATATGAAAAAAAAGATAATCACTACAAACACCAGACGTTTTTACACGGAAAACTCGTAAAACAAAAAAATCATGGGGGCTTACCCAGTTGGAATATTCCACTATGAATTTGTGATTGCATGTATAATCCCTTGTACCACATGTGGGAAAGGGTAACACGGCTTCTCGAGTTATAACATTGGTGTGTGAAATCGCTCGTTGCTCTGCAGAAGGGAGTGGTTGCAGTGATGATTCATTGTTGGAGCTTTAGTGCTACATCTTCGGGGGTGACATGGCGTTTGGGATGATGCGTCACTTTGAATGATGATTCGTGGTTCCACAGTGTTTTGCTGTAAGGAGCGAATCGTGGCAGATGGTGGTCGGTGATGATCGACAATGATAGAGGCGACATCAGTCGAAGATACCAAAGGGCAATGATTGTGGTCAAAGTTGGAGGGAGGGTGACGACAGAAGCCAGAGAGTGATAGTGGGAATCAGAGTTAGCAGGCATCTGCAAAAGCTCTAGTGGTTGGTGATTGATGGTGCAGAAGTTTGACGGTATTTGACGATGGTTGGTGGTTGGAGGAGCAGGAGCCCGATAGTGGTCGACGGTGGTTGGGTGGCTGCAAGAGCAAGAGGTGTTTGTTGGATCGTCAATGCAGGATCCTAGACAATAACTCCCTTTTCTTCAGGCTCTGGCCTCCCTCTTACTCAAGGAAAAATATTACATCAAAACTCCTAACGTAGAGCTAGGTTTGGAGTCCACTCATATGCGGACATGTGGCTTCAAGAAAACGCGTGCGCTTTCCTGTGATCAGACCCGATAACACAAGGGAATATTCCTTATGTGTTATTTCATGTTATTCAGGTGTTATTGTGGTGATATTGATGTGTTATTGTGTTATTATAACACCGGAAATATTGCCAGAACACAATAACACATGAATACCACCACAATAACATCTGAATAAAGAAAAATAACATAGGAGGAATATTCCCTTGTGCTAAAATGAATTTTTTTTATTTTTCTGTCACCTCCACACGTTCGCATATGAGTGGACTCCGAAAATAGCTCTACGTTAGGAGTCCTGATTCCTGATGTAATATTTTTCCCTTGCTCAAGGTATAGTCTCCTTCTCAAAAGGGGGGTAGGGTTCTATTTATAGATTTCATGTTGCTAATAAGAAAAAAATCAGGACCTCTCTGATCAGACGGCTCTGAGATATTCCCTCAATAGAATAGAGTTCGATGAGCATTTAAGTACCTTAGTGATGTTAGAATTGAGTGATATTGCGCTATAAGATTTGACTTGTCAAAAAACTCGATTTGACTATATATAAGATTGTTAGATTCATAATCAAGTTGACCTTCTAATTATGTCTAAAAAACTCTTAATATTGATTTAATGGTTTGATCTAGGGCTTGATTTGACTCGAATTTAACCAAATTTGATATCATTGGATCTGTCTCGTCTAGTCGATCAGTTTGATTGTATGTTTGCTGAAATCAAAGTTCAGAAAGATTTTTAATCAAAGTTTGAATGTTCCATACAACTTATTAATACGCTAAAAAAGTATCTCAAGATCGGCATCA